TCGGCCGGCCCAAGGCTATAATTCTTGATGCTCCCCTCCCTGGATGCTATTTATTATCAGTGGATATTAGATTGCCCTAGTAATCCTGTATGTTCCCTCCATCTCACCTTGGCAGAAATCTCTGCACTTGGATGTCTGAGTAGCCAGCTCCCCAAGACACATATTTGGAGGTGTTGCCTGCTTTAGGGGGTAAATCATGCAGTTCCACTTCATGGAGGAAGACATAGGAAGAGGCCTGAGGGCAGGAAAAGAGAGCTTGGGGTTGGAGTTGAAAACATGGACTCAAATCCTGGATTCAAGCACTTACCTGGGGCATGTGGCTTACCTTGAGTTTCCTCACCTATACAGCAGGAGAGTTTGGTTAAATACGATGTAAAATTCCTTCTAACTCTGAAAATCCAGGGACAGACTGTGGCTGAAGAGGGGATAGCATTGGGGTCTCCATCTCTTGATGCGGGAGAAATTTTTTGACAATGTGAATAATAGGACACCCCCCCCTCACCATATCATGGACAGGCTCTCACAACTGCCACCTCCACCTAGTTCTAGCCCAACTAGCTGATGTCCTGACCTTTCCTACCCCCTCACATGCCCTTCCCAGGGTACTGAACACCTGCATCATCTTGGTTGTCTTTTTTTCTGGATATCCTGTCATATATGGTAAACTTTAACACTTTGTAAGAGTGGCAGAACTCAAGAGTGAAATGATTACACAAAGGCAGCAAAGCGTAGTGGTCATAAATGTACAATTTTAAGTCAGAAAGATGTGGGTTCAAGTCTAAACTCTGCCTCTTACTAGGTCAATAACCTTGAGCTGGTTTCTTTCCTATAAGATGGGAATAATAATTATTCCTATCTCATTGTCTATTTATGAAGATTAAATGAGATAATAAATGTGCCTGGCATATATATTAACCCTCCATCAGGTGCAACTGATCTCACAGATTCATTGCACACAAATTTTCAAATATCTAACCGTTAACTTAAGTATCGTGACTCATCAGTTCATATCTTCCCCCTCTACTGTAACCTATCACCAGTTGTGTTTGTGACTTACTACAGCAAAGATGTATTTCATAGCGGCATCTTTGTGTGCAATGAATCTGTGAGATCAGTTGCGCCCGATGGAGGCTTAAGTCTCCAATAAATAAATGGTGGCTAATATTACCATTTAGATACTGTGGAGCTCATTTGCATGTATATTGTCTTAGTTAATTCAGGCTGCTATAACAAGTTACGATAGACTAGGTGGCTTATAAACAACAGAAATTTATTTCTCATAGTTCTGGATGCTGGTAAGTTCAAGGTTAAGGCACTGGAATGTTCACTGTCTGGTGAGAGCCCACTTCCTGGTTCTAGACAGCTGTCTTCTCACTGTGTCCTCAGAGGTGGAAGGGGGCGAGGGGGCTCTCTGGGCTCTCTCTCTCTCTCTCTCTCTCCTTTTTTTGTTTTTTTTTTTAAAGATTTTTATTGGGGAACTGGGGAGGGGAACAGTGTTGAGGAATTGGGGAAGGGGAACATTGTGTTTTTCTAGGACCCATCAGCTCCAAGTCCAGTTGCCGCTTTCAATCTTAGTTGCGGGTGGGTATAGTCCACCATTCAATGTGGGAGTCGAACCAGCAACCTTGCTGCTAAGAACACATGCTCTCGCCATCTCAGCGGCAGCTCAGCTCGGGCGCAGCTCACTGGCCCATGTGGGAACCGAACCGGCGACCCTGTTGCTCAGAGCTCCCACTCTTAATCAAAGGAACCACTTGGCTGGCCTGGGCTCTCTTTTATAAGGGCACTAATCTCATTCATGAGAGCTCCACCCTCATGACTTAATATTTCCTAAAGGCCCACCTCCTTAAAAACATCAAACTGGGGATTAGATATTAACATATGAATTTTGGCAGGACACAAACATTTAGTCTATAGCATGTGTGTAAGAATTACTCTCCAGTCTCCTTTCTTTTCATCTCTGTCCCTTTCTTCAGATAACTTTACCACCCTGAAGCCAGAGGCTACACCTGAAGAGCTCAGCAGGTGGGTAGGGAAGGGCTGGACCAATGGAGGCGTACCGAGGATCTTGGAGAAGGGGTCTGTTTAGCCTGAATATGGGGATGGCTGTGAGTGGGACCATACCCATGGAGACTGGGGCAGAGGAGAGAGGCTCAAAATGGAGGCAAGAGATGGTTGGCTCTTGGGGACATGGAAGATCAGACGTGGGAGAGCTCTTACAGGAGTGGGAAGGTCTCAGGGCAATTTTGTAAACGGTTACCAGTGCCAGCCAGGGCAGCCGGAGTGTCCTCATTTTTCTTGTTTGCTCTCCTCAGTTTAGGCACAGCAGCTACAGCTGTTTCTGGTTCCATTGGTGTTGTGGCCCTCATCTTGCTCCTGGTGGGTCTCTTGTCCATGACCCTAAAGAAATGGAGGCATGAGAGTGAGTTGAACAAGTTGGCCCTGGAATTGGGAAAGGGGAGAACCTGGGGTTAGAGACGGGGCAGCCTTTATCGGGGAAAGAATGGATAAGCTACAGTGTCTGTTCTCTGGAGTTGCCAGGGATTCCACATGTAACAACAAGATTTATTTATGATATAAATTCTTTATGTTGAAAGCCATATATAAGCAATTTGCATATATACTTATGGTTTATATGCGTCAGCTAAAAGAAATATTGATGGCAAATAATTTTATCTAAATAATAACCAAAATTATAAAGTGTACCAATATTCCCCCTGTCTTTTCCTGGGCATTTAGCTCAGTCTCAAGGGCCCAATGGATTGAACATGGTGGATTTTGAATTTCAAAGTTCAACCCTAAGTCCAGCAATCAGCTAAGTAAGGATGGTTGCTGCCCCAACTCAGGCTGATTCTGAGTTTATTAATTTTCCTAGGACTATTTAAGAAACAACTGAGGCATCGGAACAACTTTNATTTTCAGACTGTGGTTGCCCCAGGTAACTACCACCGTGGAAAGCGAATCTGTGGATAAAGGGGGATTATTGTACTGCTGCCCATAAGCCTGGATAGGACAGGATCAGGGCTCACCAGGCTCTCTGTCCCCACGTTGGTCAGGTTCCCACAGTTCTGGGACCCATAGGACCTTTGGTCAGAGGAAATTGCAGGAGCAGCTCATGAGCACAACATTGAGTTCAGTGCTGACCCTGGGCCTTTGTTTTGACAACTGGAATTCTGGCCTGTCTCCATGATTGGACTCCCACCTCCTACCTTGCCACCTTATTTCAGTAACTGGGTTCCCACTTTGAGCCAGGGCCTTGGACTTCTTTATCCCTCAAGATGGAGGCCTGGTGTTGTCTCCTCAGTGCTCCTGGGGCTGGAGAGTCAGCTGTGAGCCCTGCCACCAGGTGCTCAGCCCTGTGCACTGTTTCCCTGCGGGAATCCCCCTTGCCACCTCTTTAGGACCCAGCACACTGAGCAGACTGACCCAGTGCTGCCGTCTCAGGCAGGGAGTGCTGCCACGACCCGGACAGGCCTCTCCCTTTCCCTAGAAGCCAGCTCCTTGTTTCCACCTCTTTCTGATCAAGAGAGAAATAAATGAAGGAATTGTACTCACAGAGACTTGGTCGGCTCCGATGACTCCAGATAAACTCCCAGTCCCATACTGAATGAAGAAATGACTTCCTGACGCACTGTATGTGTTGGACTGGGAAGGGTAGAACCTGGCGTGTGTCACTGGAAAGCAAGGATGCTGCTCTTACCTAGGCCATCAGCTCACTGCCTTCATCCCTGCCCTGATGCCCTAGAGTATAGGGTCTCTTCCTCAACTTCCAGCATTGAACGGGGCTTCCGGAAAGGTTGGCCATGGCCCTCCCTAGTGAGAGACTACATTCCCCTCTAGATATATGTAGTGGCCTAATTGGGGACCAAATATTTGTCCCTGGGTAAACATGATTTCCCACAGTGACCCCATAAGGCATGCCAAAATAAACACCAGGTGTCAGGCACCAACAGCAGCCTCTGCCAACCATTGTGGGTCAGAGCCTGGCATTCAAAAGAAACTTGGGGATAAACAATTGCCATTCCAGGAAATTACTCACAACTCCTTGCACTATCTGTGGACACCTAGTCTTGGAGTTTCCTGAGACGTTCTATCTCTAAAACTTATCCTACACAGACATCAGTCCTTAGCCCTTCCTTTTCCAGTCTTCACAAAGACCTGAGTTACCTCTGGCCAAATGAACCCGCCATACATTGTGTCCCACCAGCCCCACCGCTGGTGTGCTAGGAGGTAGGTTACCAAGCCTCCTTGAAGCAGGTGAACAGTTTGCACTAGAAGCTGACCCTCCTTCCTGCCCAGAAATAACCATTGGAATGAAACTTTCCTCCACATTCTTTTGGGCATTCCAAAGGGAGTGAGTAATCATGTATTCAAAGATTTGCGTTTTTGGAGGCGGAGTTTCCGTCTAATAATTCAGGTCAATATGAAAGTTGTTAGCTTGGAAAGCAGTCCAATTTTAGCTTTCTTCCTGGCCCAGCACTGTTTCTGCTGAAGGCAATGCCAGGGAAGACTATGAGATGGAGAAGGGAGGATGATGTGCAGGGATGGCCAGTTTCTAGAATCCAACCACTTCCCCCAGAGTGCCAGGCCCTTGATCCCAGGACTGGTCCCCAGCCATTCCCCACTGAGGCTTCTAGCCCACTTACTGCATGCTGGGCTGGTGCAATACACAGAGGGGACCCAGAGGTTGGAGGAGCCAGTGTCAAAGATGACCGTGAAGTTCTGTGGCGGGGAGCCAATGGAGATGGTGCCAAAGTATTCCATCTATAGGCAAGGTAGGGAAGGGAGGAGGTGTGAATGACAGGGAGGGTGCTTACCAGTGGACTCAGTGATTGCTCCCTGGAGCCAGAGCCTGGGCTAGCACAGACTGGAGCTCACAGAGCCTGGGAAATGGCAATCAGAAGTAAAAGGAGCGGAGGAAAGGCTTCAAGGGAGGAAATCAAATCATTATCACGATTCTCATAATAACATTGCGAGCACCGCAGCGGAGGCTTGCCCTGCTCATTTCTTTCCTTCCAGCATTTCTTTCCTGTCTCTTGGCAGAGACAGGTCTACACATGGGACTTGTTCAGCCAGATCCATGGGGACCCAGGGGATCAGTCCATATGGCTCATCCTAGAGGAGAAATTCACACTGGCCTTCAATGCTGCTGCCCACTAGTCATGCCCCAGGCGGAGCCCTCCTTCCCACTCCCTTCTCCCCAGCCCATGTCCCAGGGTGCCTCACATCCAAGTAATTGATGAGGGGCTCGTTGGCACTCTGGTCCATTGTGCAGGACTCGGTGAACTGGATCATGTCCAAATTGTGGGATTTCCAGAACTCAGAGAGCTGGCCCTGTGCCCGAAGCTTCTTCCGGAGGGACTGATGCCTCCTGAGGGGCACCCTGAGGACAAAGCCCCATGTGAGAAAGAGATGCATTTCTGCCTCTCTCTGACCCTCCCCTCCTTCACCCCATTTTCCAGAGGTGAATTAGAGAATTACACAGGAGGGGATCTGCAGGACAGCGTGCCGAGTTTTGCCCCCAGCCTACCTAGTCTCATGTCTGCCCCTACAGGACTCTTAGACTCAAAATGGCCCTCTCTCCTAGAGACGGGCTCTTTGAGGTCTCTAGGAAAATGGGGGATGTGGGATGGTCTGCAGTTTTACATGAACCTCATAAGGGGCTGACTTAAAGAGACAAAAAAAAACTCTTGGGGGCAGCGAGAGGTCAATCCCTTGGGGAAGTACTGAGGTCCTTTGAACAGCAAACCACAACTGCAGGTTCCTCTCTTTCCAACATGAGAAGGTCCCTGGTGCTCGGGCAGGCAGCTCTGACAGAGGTGGAGGCTCAGAGATGGATATCATGCGCTGGAGATGAAAGCCACCCCAAGGTGGTCACTTGGCAAACCTTTTCCAAGCCCTCAGTTTCTCCTCCTCTTCATTTCCCCGTTAGCTTTCCTCTCCCAGGGGAGCCCTAGGCTTGAGGGGAGGGCAGTATCCCAGCTGGACACAATGCTGGGGACGTGGCCTCACCTGTGGAGTGCTCCATGGGTCTGCCCCAGGTCCAGGAGCACCAGCAGCAAAAGGACAAGCATTTTCATTGTGGGTCCAGCCAGCAGCTTCTCGCCCGCTCTGCCACAGCCTCCCTTGCCACCTCTCCTTTTTTCTGTCCCACAGGGTGGTGGGAACCAAATCTCCCTAACTCAGATCTGTTCAGCCCAGTCTGAGGACACAGTGATAAGGCCCCTGGAATCAATAACCAGGCCCAGAGCAAACACGGCGTGTATAACAGGGCGTTCCCCTCCACCCTTCAGTTCCTTTCCCTCCTGTGAGGGGGCTATGGACTTGGGGTGGGACTTGGGGATCTGTGCACCCTCTCAGAGTAAGAGAGTCTCTAAAGCTTAGTTTNAGTCATGCTCATGTCTGTGGAGATGTGAACGGCTGATTATCTTGGATGTCTGGACAATACACCTAGGGTTTGGTGAGGAGGTGTAGCGGGGCTGCTTCTTACTGGGGGAGTGAGACATGAGCTCCCACAAAGAGTGGAGGGCCACCATGGAAAGGAGCTGGAGAAGGAGTGCCTAGTGGAAGTAGGTACATGTCACCATTGACCAGGGACAGCTCCCATGGGAACTTTGGAAAATGTCTGAACTTTGCAATTGAGTCACTCCTTCCCTTCATTCGAAAACGTTTATTAAACACCACCATGATCTAGAATCTGGGACTGGAGCAGTGAACCCAATGGACAAATCTTCATCCCCATGGAGCTTACTCTCTAGGACAGGAAGACAGGCAATAAACAAACAAGCAAATATACAGACAGCCAGATTGTGGCATGTACTATAGGGAAAAATAAAGCAAGTCCTGGGAGGCCGAAAATACCAGGTGGGAGTGGGTTGCTATCGGATGGTCAGGGAAGGCCTCACTGACATTTTACCTAAAGAAAGTGAGAGTGACACCTGAGGGTAAATGGGGAAGGGCATTCAGGAAGCAAGAACAGCAAGTGCAAAGGCCCTGAGGTGGAGTGAGCCGTATGCGGTCCAAGAACAGCAAGGAGGTGAGTGTGTCTGGAGTGGAGGGGACAGCATGGAGAGATGAGATTTGTGCAGCAAATCAGCTCCAGAGTTTGGGAAACAGTGATACAAGACAGTGTTTCCCACAGCACGGTCCATGGAACATCAGTGCAGAGCCCCCTGGTCCTCTGGGGATTCTGCCTCTTCCTGTACCACTGTCTGTACTGCTATTGCTCTGATCTGTTAATCTCCAGATTTTCTGCTCATTTATAGGAGCCTGATTCCTGGTCTCCATTCCACCCTAATCCTGTTATCACCCGAAGTGATTTCAGTGGAAACATAGACAGCGCTCCCTCCCTCTGACCTCGAAGTTCCCCAAAGTGTGTTATTCTAGTTATGGGAGATGTTAATAAGTGTTGAGATGGAGAGATTAAATGAGATCTATGACCAACTAAGTTTAACGAACCAACTAAGAAAATAACGAATAAGCGAAGAGTAATGGAGGAAATGAAGCAGACTTAAAACCAAAGCTGACAGAAGTTACTTCTTATCTGCTAAGAATGGTGTCATGGTTTACATCAATAAAAAAACACATACCCTGGCCGGTAGAGTGGCTCAGTTGGATAAGAGTTGGCTTAAGAGTGTGAGCTCTGAGCAGTAAGGCTGCTGGTTTGATCCCCACATGGGCCAGTGACGCTGTGCCTGAGCTGAGCTGCCGCTGAGCTGCCAACAGGTGGCAGAATGGCTCAGCTGGTGTAACAACAAGACTGCCTGTTCGATGGTGGGCTATGCCCACCCCCAAATAAGACTGAACTTGGCACCTTGAGCTGAGCTGCCGACCGGATGGCTCCGTGGATAGCGCATGTGCTCTTAACAACAAGGCTGCTGGTTCAACTCCCACATGGGATGGTGGCAACGTCCACCCACAACTAAGATTGAACACATCACCTTGAGCTTAGAAGGCATGAGCTGCCGACCGGAAGCTGGACAGCGACTGGTGCCCTCCACAATGAAGATTGAAGAACAACAACTTGGCTGGTTTGCTTCCCCAAACTCCCAACACTGTTTCACTCCCCTAATTCCCCAATAAAACAAAATAAAAAAAAAAGGGAAACGCATACCCTGTTACTCCATCCACTCACAGGGACTGATGAGGAGAGAAGGTAAGAGGGAAACATGGCAATTTGTAAGCCTCTGCCACCTTTTCTGTGTTGACAGAGGGCAAGTCCTGGAGTAGATAGCTCTTTGTGTTAACAGAGATGTATGATGGTCATGTGCCCTGGTTTGCTGAGGACTTTCCTGGTGAATGCCTGTTATTCCAGCAAAATTATTATTAGGTCCCCTTTCACTCTCACAAGTGTCATAGTTTGGATGATAAATTATGTGGTTACCTGTTCACAAGGCTTTGAAAGTACAAAAGTAAGTCCAAGAGACCAAGTAAGGAAGGGAAAGCAAAGTTGTTTTCTACAGTAAAGTGAGGAGAATGGAGTTGGGGTAGGGGAGGAGGAGACTGGAGGAATTGTGAGTTAGGGAGATAAAGAGAAAATTTGCGAGGGGCCAGGGGGCTGAAATCACATAGACTTCCACTGCTGCACACCTCAGTAAAGCTTGCTGAACACACCAATGCCGATGCAGGTATTTTGGGGAAGGGGAAATCATGCAAAGGGGACTGAATGCCACATCTTGGTCAGCATAGAGCAAAAATAAGGGGGAAGTGGTAAGAGGTGCAATATGAATGAGTTGGACAATTCAAGGGGAGGCTGAACTTAGAGCTGCAAGCGATTACAAGAACAAAAGCCCCTTAGAAATTCTCAGAAATTGCAGGGAGGGCGCCAGGACTTCCAAATAACCTACAGTTGGGAGATTGTGCCAACTGTGTTTAAATCTCAATGGATAGATTGACCTTGGCATTAATCTGGGTTGTAAATGTAAACAGGCTTCTTTATCGCAAGACTTCTCAGATAC